GATATGACAAGTAATCACTCGATAATGTAGATGTCAGATATGACAAGTAAGAAAAACAACTCGTGCATCACTCGATAATGTAGATGTCAGATATGACAAGTAATCACTCGATAATGTAGATGTCAGATATGACAAGTAAGAAAAACAACTCGTGCATCACTCGATAATGTAGATGTCAGATATGACAGGTAAGAAAAATAACTCATGCATCACTCGATAATGTAGATGTCAGATATGACAGGTAAGAAAAACAACTCATGCATCACTCGATAATGTAGATGTCAGATATGACAGGTAAGAAAAACAACTCATGCATCACTCGATAATGTAGATGTCAGATATGACAGGTAAGAAAAACAACTCATGCATCACTCGATAATGTAGATGTCAGATATGACAGGTAAGAAAAATAACTCATGCATCACTCGATAATGTAGATGTCAGATATGACAGGTAAGAAAAACAACTCATGCATCACTCGATAATGTAGATGTCAGATATGACAAGTAAGAAAAGTAACTCATGCGTCACTCGATAATGTAGATGTCAGATATGACAAGTAAGAAATCAACTCATGCATCACTCGATAATGTAGATGTCAGATATGACAAGTAAGAAAAACAACTCGTGCATCACTCGATAATGTAGATGTTAGATATGACAGGTAAGAAAAACAACTCATGCATCACACGATAATGTAGATGTCAGATATGACAGGTAAGAAAAACAACTCATGCATCACTCGATAATGTAGATCGTCAGATATGACAAGTAAGAAAAACAAATGCATCACTCGATAATGTAGATGTCAGATATATGATAATGTAGATGTCAGATATGACAAGTAATCACTCGATAATGTAGATGTCAGATATGACAAGTAATCATGATAATGTAGATGTCAGATATGACAAGTAAGAAAAACAACTCGTGCATCACTCGATAATGTAGATGTCAGATATAGGTGAAAAACAACTCATGCATCACTCTATAATGTAGATGAATCACTCGATAATGTAGATGTCAGATATGACAGGTAAGAAAAACAACTCATGCATCACTCGATAATGTAGATGTCAGATATGACAGGTAAGAAAAACAACTCATGCATCACTCGATAATGTAGATGTCAGATATGACAGGTAAGAAAAACAACTCATGCATCACTCGATAATGTAGATGTCAGATATGACAGGTAAGAAAAACAACTCATGCATCACTCGATAATGTAGATGTCAGATATGACAGGTAAGAAAAACAACTCATGCATCACTCGATAATGTAGATGTCAGATATGACAGGTAAGAAAAACAACTCATGCATCACTCGATAATGTAGATGTCAGATATGACCAGTAAGAAAAATAACTCATGCATCACTCGATAATGTAGATGTCAGATATGACCAGTAAGAAAAACAACTCATGCATCACTCGATAATGTAGATGTCTGATATGACAAGTAAGAAAAACAACTCATGCATCACTCGATAATGTAGATGTCAGATATGACAAGTAAGAAAAACAACCCATGCATCACTCGATAATGTAGATGTCAGATATGACAAGTAATCACTCGATAATGTAGATGTCAGATATGATAAGTAAGAAAAACAACTCGTGCATCACTCGATAATGTAGATGTTAGATATGACAGGTAAGAAAAACAACTCATGCATCACTCGATAATGTAGATGTCAGATATGACAAGTAAGAAAAACAACTCATGCATCACTCGATAATGTAGATGTCAGATATGACAAGTAAGAAAAACAACTCATGCATCACTCGATAATGTAGATGTCAGATATGACAGGTAAGAAAAACAACTCATGCATCACTCGATAATGTAGATGTCAGATATGACAAGTAAGAAAAGCTTATCAATATATATATATATATATATACTCAAAGGATAAAGAAAGGCAGGGGAAACTTTGAAGTTGATTCTAGACAAGACATCGAGTATAATGGTGAATATTCTAAAGTAACAGTAACCATTAATCCATACAGAACAAGCTGCAAAATCAACGTTTTGTATCTGGTAAGTGATTTAGGATTAATTAAAGGAAATTGAAAGAGAACTCTGTAATCTGAAATCGAAATGGACTGATTGTGGGAGCTGGCTAGTCAATACCTTATTCTCCTAGGTCTAGGTATGCAGTTCATGAGTGAGTTTATCCTCCTCATTGGGATGTTGGCTCATTCTTTCAAGAGGTATGCTCTCAGTTCGGCCAGAGTAAAAGGGGGAGGCTGGCGTCGTCTATCCAGCTAGTCCCACAAGTGCTCAATAGGGGATAGGTCGGGGCTGTATGGCGGCCAGTCCAGTGGGTGGATATTGCTGTGAGAAAGTCGCGACAGATCCTCCCCACACCAAAGTCGATCTACCCTAAACTTATCCATCTCTAAAAAACTACACGGCAATCGGCGAAACGATCTCCACCACGTCGGTATACACGACGTCGACAACCTGCTCAAAACAGGGTAAACCGGGACTCATCAAGAAACAAGACCCGCTTCCACGGCCTCAGTGGGATATTCCGGGCCACCCAAGCCATACGACGCTGGTGACAAACAGCAGTAAGGGGCAGACCTACAAACGGTTGACGTGCCCGCAGACCAACTTACCGCAATCGTTTCCTTAAGTTTTTGCATGGATAGGACTGTTTTGAGTACCTATGGTATGAAGGCCAGAGTTAGTGGCAATAAGGTGCCGACTGCGCAAATGCGTGAGACTAAACCTGTCCTAACGTTGTGACGTCATGCGCGGACGCCCAGACCTAGGTCTTTCATCAACATGCCCAGTTTTCCTTAGACGTCTAACAAGACGTTCTATAGTGCAAATATGGACACCAGAATGTCTGGCAACCTGTATTTGCCTTTGACCTTGTATAATCATCACATTGGCCTGATACCTCTGAACTTCCGTCAGCCGTGCCATTGTTTAATGCTATCAGAAATTAATCAAAATATCGGAAAATGATGTGTCTCTATGAAGACTATCAGTAGTGTCACTTAATATCACACACGAGATATTCCCGTTTCGTGCTTTCCCTTGAAGACATCGTCCAGCAATACACTGATGCAACATTCGATACAGAACCACGTGCACTGTAACATAGAGAGTTGTTTTTGAACCACGCGTTCGCAAGATATTGTAAATAATGTCAACCAGCATTTCATTATGCCTGGAGTTTATATATATATATCACATACAATATGCCTGTGTTTATAAAGAATGATTTGTAATATCAGAAAGTAATGGAGATATTTCTCGCAGTATCATTGTTAATTTTTATTCACGGTCCATAGCAAGAATATATTTATAACGTAATATATGCAACTTATGTTCATCTCTAGGTAATGTTTGGTAACAATAAGATATATGAATAAATAAGCAAACTAATTTATAAAAAAACTAAATAGCAATTACTAAACAAGAACGGACAATAAGAAAAATTCGATGTGTACAACTTTAAACTTTATTTCAGACTTTGTTTAGCGTATTGTATTTGGATAAGTGCAACTTTCCTTCTGGATTCTGACAATTTATGTAACGATCCAAATTACAATTACTGCATGTGTTTTAATTCAATAAACCCTTATATGTTCTTCGGACAGTCTGTGGAAATGTCAACAATATCTGATCAGAAAAATGCTTCCCACGAAAATCAGGAAAATACAGATTAACAGCCATTTAGTAGTGATTTCATTTCTGAAATTGACAAAACATTCCCATCTACATTTCCATATATTTCCGGAAAATACTTGGATATTTTATACAACATGACAACAGGTCCGGTACAATTATAAAGAGTTATAACTATAATAATTATTTTTTGAAAGACAGCAGATTCACACAACCATGTAGAAATAATAAGTAAAGATAACAGATCCACACAACCATGTAGAAATAATTAGTAAAGATAACAGATCCACACAACCATGTAGAAATAATTAGTAAAGATAACAGATCCACACAACCATGTAGAAATAATTAGTAAAGATAACAGATCCACACAACCATGTAGAAATAATTAGTAAAGATAACAGATTCACACAACCATGTAGAAATAATTAGTAAAGATAACAGATCCACACAACCATGTAGAAATAAGTAGTAAAGATAACAGATTCACACAACCATGTAGAAATAATTAGTAAAGATAACAGATCCACACAACCATGTAGAAATAAGTAGTAAAGATAACAGATTTACACAACCATGTAGAAATAAGTAGTAAAGATAACAGATTTACTCAACCATGTAGAAATAAGTAGTAAAGATAACAGATTCACACAACCATGTAGAAATAAGTAGTAAAGATAACAGATTTACTCAACCATGTAGAAATAATTAGTAAAGATAACAGATTCACACAACCATGTAGAAATAAGTAGTAAAGATAACAGATTTACACAACCATGTAGAAATAATTAGTAAAGATAACAGATTCACACAACCATGTAGAAATAAGTAGTAAAGATAACAGATTCACACAACCATGTAGAAATTGAAATTGCTACAATTTTACAATTCCATGATAAACCATTTGCTATAATTACTTATTATCGTGGGATTGTAAAATTGTGGAAATTTCGTTTTTGTTATCTAAATATCAGAAAAGAAACCTATAACAGCAAAATAAGTACCTGCTTATTCAGTCTAAAGAAAGCCATCAGTTATATAATATATTCCCACTTGCAACTTTATTTACTATTGTGGTAGTTTCCTGTCCAATCATTTTCTCTGTATTTATCGACTGTCTTATCTTGCCTTCCTATGTAACCTAGTGTCAGACATATCCAATTAAGATATTCTAGAGACTGGGACTAGTCTATGAATTTATGTACATGGGCTGTACCAAAATTAACTGTCTATATGTCAAATTCCGTAAAAGCGCTTTGCCGTCTTGCACTTGAATGTTAGAATTCCGGAAAACGTATCGTTGACCATGAAAGGTAGACACGCTTGAACGAGGTCAATCTACTTTCGTTTTGTTTTAATCGGGATTTCCGTTTTGTTATGGGTTTTTCCTAATTTACTCTTATCAAAGAAGACAAATCGATGGGTCGGTAAGATAACGGTTTGTTTCTTAACTGTCATAAAATACCATGTTTACTTTTTAATTTATGTATCAAACAATGTGCAGTCATGTTTCAATGAGAATGTATACATGCACTGCTGAGATGGATCAGAGCCTTTATTTTGTATACATATGTAACGTTTCCGTGTTCTAAGGCGCTTCTAAATTGCCAGCACATTTGAAATATACGTGCATTTCTTGTTTCTTAATCAATGTCTTATTGGCTGCAATTACACGTATATATACAAATATATGTTATTGCAGATGTAGATTGTCTTTGTGCATCTGAGGATTGATAATGGCTGAACGAAATATTGAGCAAGGAAACTGGAGGGATGGAAAGACACTGATACAGTGTAACCGCTACATCCTGGAGCAGGAAGTTGGATGTGATATTCATTTTATAGTCGGACCACAAGACAATAAAAAAAGTATCGGAGCTCACAAATCCATATTGATGGCTAGAAGTGATGTATTTTTTGCCATGTTTGAGGGAACCATGGCCGAGGCAGATAGTTTAATTACCGTTCCTGACATTGATCCAGTTACTTTTAAGAAAATGTTGTTGTAAGTGTTATTGGCATGTTTTTTTTACCTTAAATTGATTTTATGAACAAGAGAGGAATCCATCTCATGTTTTATATAAAAAACCTCAAACTCAAATCAACTTCATCAGTCAAGCAATGTTAGATATTTGTGTATGATGTAAAATGGACAAGAGATAGAAAACAAAGCAATCTAATTCTGATGCCAGCAGAACTTTTAAGTGAACATCAAACAGGCTTGTGTGTTTACCCAAATTTTTCGTTGGAATCTATATATGATCCAGTCAGTAACTGAGTCTTGGACCCCTAATGTGTTATGTTAGACATTGTTAACGTATATTGAGCTGGCAGGCCTGTATTTTTCTTCTTTTTTTTTAATATCTATATGTATTTATGGGAACAAATTTGCATCTGTTTATGCAGTGATTTAAGTAAAAGCCAATATTTCCAGGAATATGTATTAGGAGTTATGACCATAATAGCCAGGTATTATGGGTGAATTCTGATTGTTACTGGAATAGAATATATCCCTCCATCGAAAGAAGAAATCTTTAGATGTGTTTTGTTAAATTGTAAACCCCCGGAAACATTAATATCAGCAGGGATATTTTCACCAATTCTGCCTGTCCAAACTGACCTTAGGAAAGATATTGTGATGCTGAAAGCAGTTTTAAAAGTCATGAGAAAGAGTTCCAAAGATCTAGAAGTACAAAACAGCCAGAGAAAAGTTAGGAATTAGCCATATTGTGCAGTGGTCTCTTTAATCTTCTAAGTTTGTAACTACATTATTTGTCAATATTGTACGATTGCATTACTGACAAATGGAAAATGTTCACTCTGCATCGTACATACACAAAAATGGGAAGATGTTGTGGAGGGGGAGGGGTGACGACGAATCAAGATTTCAAAACAACTTTTTTAATTTGGACGATATGAATTTGATATGAATCATTATATTTTTAACAGGTACATTTACTGTGATGACACAAGAGTAGACTTGATCGAGGCATTTTCACTTCTGTATGCTGCACAGAAATACAATATACAGGGCCTGGTGACTCGGTGTGACCAGCGAATGCGGGCAGGAATCAACGTCGAGAATGTATGCCATATTCTATTGAATACCAATATGTTTCAACAAGAAGAAACTAAACAACTCTGTCTGCAGTTCATATATCCACATGCAATGGAAGTCTTTTCATCTGAAAGTTTCATGGAAATGTCAGAAGAATGTCTGATTGAGATACTCCAGCAACACAAAGTCAATATGCAGGAGGAAAGTATATTTGAGGCAGTTGTGAAATGGGCTGAGGAAAAAATCAAGAGACAAAATTTGGAAGTCAACGGTGAAAACACTCGCAGAATGCTGGACAATATCCTCCCATATATTCGCTTTGCAAGAATGGACGTTTCTTATTTCTCAGATAAAGTCTCTCATAAAGGTATAATGTCTCCATCAGAACTTGTGAAACATTTCCAATTTTTGACCACAAACAAGGCTGATCATCCAGACCCTCAGAGAGAAAGGAGGCTTGTATTTGAAAGATTTAAATGCGTCGTGAGTGGGAAGGGTTATTTTCGTGGAAATAGCGATGCAATTTCCTTCATCATCTCAGAAGATGCAAAGTTACATGAAGTGTTGATCTATGGAAGCTGCCAAAATGTAGCTTTATATAAAATAAAGCTGAAAATTCTGGAAGACCATGATTCAAAATTATACGAGAGACATTTTGATTTGAGGAGTAATGGCGCGACCAAAACATATCCAGTAGAGATTGTGCCTCCTGTTTTGGTGAGAAGAGAAATCTGCTACTCAATAGTGATGGAAATGGTTGGCCCAGCCAGCTACTGCGGACAGGGTGGAGAAATAAAACTAACCAAGGGAGGGGTGACCATTACATTCATTCCAAATGAAGAAGGACTGAATGGCACAAATGTCAAAAATGGACAGTTCCATGGCATAGTATTGGAACAAATATAGATTCAATATACCCGTGCCTTGATATGTGTTTGTACCATAATGCCTGACAATCAAATTCTACATTATAATGTTTTGGTAGATGCTAGTAGTGTAATATACCAGGGGTTATTTTCCATAGGCTGCACTGACAGCACAAAATTGATTGTAACATTATAATATGGATGCCGATATTACATCACCGTTGCCTCATTTTTTTTTTTTTTTTTTAATTCTTAAAAGCCTGTCAAAAAGTCAATTTTATCAGTTATTTGCTAAATTGTCTGAAATATGTTTTAGTGAAGGATTTTCAGAAAATGAAATAAAAGCTCATATCGGATTCCATATGTATCAACCCAAAGAAATCAAAAGGGATTATGTATATAGTGTGGCAACAGTAACAGTACATATCTGATATATCAGTAGTATATTATTCACGGCTCCTAGCTACAGTTTACCGATACTGTACATTCTACATTTCCATAGTAACATGTAACTAACTGACTAATTATATATAAAGACTTATTCAGGGCCATTACGTAGATTGTGGTATGATGTTAATAGTTGAGGGCAAGTGTTGCTATGTCAGAAAAGGTTCACATAGATATTGCCCATTATTTTATTTACCCATATTAAAACCTGTTTTGTGTTATTACATCTCTATCATTTCCCAGTCAATTTATTGATTTGAACAATATTCACTTCCCTGTCGTACATGTATATATCGCATTCGAATTCTGTACGGCAGCTGTATATTGCTAACCAGCAAAGAGATAAGTATTCGGATAAAAGTATACATCTTGATTTAATTCAGCAATTGTGAAACTTCTTCTCATCAGTTTTGATGTAAGTAAGGAGGGGTCTGATGCGGTTACGGTATGTCACCCTACAACATACATGTATTGTATTGATGTGTTTGGGACGGAATATCAATATAAACGGAAGTAATGGAATCAATTTCAATTCCCCAAACTGTGTTATGATTAACTTATGATTTAATAATATTGATAATAATACATTTTGAAAAACTGATCCGTATTCCCATTTTTTATCCTATTACACAGTCTGAAAACGAACACCACGACCTGATGGAACCACACACCGCCTTCCATATTACAATGTTGATTGAAAAAACGCTCCAAAGAACGTAATTCTCGTGTGTTGATGCGTTTTGTTGATAATTTTTGTATAATGCACTAATCCCCGTCGAAATAATGTTTTGAGTCTGGTTTTAATAACACCTCAACCCTAATAGATAAGAAATCTGTATTTGGAAGAGTTCACCTAGGCAGAAGTCTCAGGTATTCGGAAACATTCGACGGCTAAACCGCATTCTCGAGTTTTGAAATTACTATCAGAGTTCGGTAAATTCAGTTTGGATTTTAATTGTCATAGGAATTTTATGGGAATTTTTGTATCGCGATTTTTTTCAATGTTATTCTTCATTTGCTGTGGAAAACGAATATACAATGTACACCGTTAGTTCACATATATAAATTTATATTGGCAAATTCACAAGAGGTAAATCTTCTGTTTATTTTTGTTTTAAAGGGTTTTTTAAATCCTCCCACAGCCAGGGTCATATGAGGACAGATGACAAATGGTACAACGATAAAACAGAAATTAAAGCACGGAAGAAAGAGCAGACAGAAAATGATATTAAAACATAAAATGATAGGTGTTGCCATGTTGAGAGCAAATCTAACTTGTAGCTGCATCAAGTCAATGTCCCCTGACTAGAATTCTAAATTCTGCATGGGGCGGGGCTTTTAACCACATCATACTCTCATACAATGTACTACAGTAGACACTGTTCTCAGGCTCCCTCATGCCCCCTGATGCCCCTCGATGTCCCCTGAACATAAGACATTGGAGAAATCATACCTGAACTACAAGGGGACCCCACAAGGGTTTACGCCATTCAGACTGTCAGACTTCTAAGATGTCACTACATTGTATGTGGTCTCATAATAACATACTATATGTCACGTGTGTCTGTCATTGTAGTTGTCATTATGATGTAGGTTGTGACAATTCTTTTCTAAGGAATTTAGGGTCGTCCAGTGGACTTCTGATTGTACGAAAGACGCACTGAGGACAGAAATTAAGAATTACATGCAGTGTAGTCACATTATAGACTTGATTTTATCACATAACTATTTCATCCTTCTATGACTCCTCGATGGTGCTAGGGACCTAACTTATAAAATGGCGAGGCGATTTTTACCCAAATCCTTATATTTTGAACCACACCACTATTCAAATTTATCAAAACGTGACATCTAGGTACGTGTATGCAAACCTCGGCGACTGAAAGTCCAATTGCAGTGTCTACTACACCTGGCTATTTAAACTTTTTTTGCGAAAACATTGCTACATTTGTGTACATGTATGTAGTCGGTTATTTTAAATATGAATAGCTCTCGATGGGTTGATATAATTCGTTGCTTTGAATTAAATGGGAAACAACATGCATGCAAATGACTCTAGTCACATAGATGACTTCATGAAACCAATATATGAAATACACCAAAGGGAGGACGTTGGGCTTGTCTTTATCTTAAAATGATTTTTAAACGTCAATATTTGCAAATTTGACAACATATTTGAAGTAGTTATCTAGATAGGCAACCTGGATTTCACCCGATAGATGCGGTCTACCTTTCTGTCTATTGCAATAGTGAGCAACACGGAACAAATAAATTAGTTTTTCATTTGCAGGTAATCGGAATATCTAGAAAAGTATATTTACTTAATATCCCTTTTACTTTCTGTGAAATTCTTTATCACCGCAAAAATATTATTATCATTTATTTATTGTCATTATTACTTTTTGTGTTGGGCGGGGGGAGGTATAGTGTCAGATGAGGGGTGCAGACTTTGATACTATGAAGATCGTTGAATTTTTTGCGATGCTAGCATCATTATTCATTAATACACATCTGAAAACAATCCTTAACATACTGGCCACATGGTTGTCATGTCTCCTTTTCTTGGTATATGTTTGTGTATCCAACACTAAAGAAAAGAAAATGTTCAATTTCTGGAGGGAACTATTTTAGTTATAAGATTTCACATTGTCACTTCATCATGTACAGATGTAACGCAACGGTAGCACAATGGATCGGACACCAGTTATACATACTCAACAGAAAAAGAAAAAAGTTTCCCCCTGCAGTACACCTTAGCTGTAAGGAAATGATGGAATATTTGGTCAGGTATTACATCAAGCATGATCTCCCTTCTCGACAAACTACCCTAAAAGCAGCCAATCATGACAATGTCATTGTCTGACTTTGTCAGCTTCTTTAGTCCAAATCACCCGGCTTGATACAGCCATGCTAGATTTGTTCAAACGAATAATTTCAGCGGACACTCCAAGTTAAGCCACATTAATTTTCCACGTTGGCATTTTGATTTCACCATTGACGAGATGCCACGCTTAACGCAAATTCAAAGGGGTAGAGCAGACCTATTAGTGCCGAAACTGTCAGGAACTGCTTGTGTGTAGAGAGAACCATTGCCCGCCGACCTTTTGTCGGGTCACCTCTGACCCAACGGAGGCGGCAAGTGCGTATTGACTGGATGTGCAGACATGGTCCGAACAGGGTTGGGATGCGTCGGTTGAGACGTATCGTGTTCACCGGAGAGTCTAGATTCTGTCTGTATCGCTCAGACGGAAGAAAAAAAATATAATGTAGACGCCGACGCATGCGTGGGTGAACGCAATAGATTCGGCGGGGCTTCTGTAACGGTTTGGGGAGGCATCTCACCCTTTATGGTCCTGGGCTCCAACTTCAATGCCGTGCGATACAGAGACCAGATCCTCCAATCACATGTCCTTCCACTTCTCAGAAATCATAACCAAATTTTCCAGCAAGACAATGCTCGACCGCATGTTGCCAGGGTCTGTTGTGATTTTCTCATGGCAAACAATGTTCAGCCTCTGGAATGGCCCCCATATAGCCCCGACATGTCTCCCACTCGGATTATCTGTCGGATGAGCTGGACAGGCGTATTAGGAAACGTCAAAAAAAAAAAACAACAACAACAACAACTAACCGCATCCAGTTGATCGCATTATTAACACCAGAATGGAACACGTTCCCGTAAGGGGGTTAATGTTCTCATGAATCCAATACATAGGAGGATCCATGCAGGGATTCGTGCAAGAGGTGCCCACACCAGGTACTGAAATGTCATTTTGTTTTTCTTGGGTATCCCACTTTGAGTAACTACTGACGACACGTGTGACCTCACACAGACTTTTCTTCTACAGTATTGTAAAGAGTAGATTTGTTCCGTCACATGGATGATTTTTTTTTATAAAAATTCCCGGAAATGTCATAGGCTATCGATTGCATCATTTAATTGTGCGTTTCTTTTTATGTTGAGCATACATATATGGAATAAATGCATGGAAATATGCATGTGCTGTGTATCTAAAATAAGTTTTACCATCTAACTTTCCTCCGTTAAAAGGTTAAGCGTATGAAATCAGGTCATGTAATACGTGTAGACCGAGAGTACTCGTTGACATATGGTGTCTTGTGGTGTTAGAGTGTGTCTAGATGTGGGACAAAAAAAGAATTGTCTAAGAGAAGCGTACCTGGTGAATCGTTTATATTAAACTGTTCAGAGAAATAAGTGTTAAATGTTTTAATTTACATTTACCATGTAGCACAGTAACTTGGCACGAACGCCCGGCGTATATATGGACCGTGGATCGGGTACTTTGGTCTCTTCAGTCTGGTCAATAGACCCGCTGCATTATCATCCTTCAGATTTTCAATTTATATTGATTCTGTCATGTAATCATTTTTTATTGTTTTATCTATGTGTTGATTTGTTTATTTTATTTAATTGTATTTTTCTGATAATTTTTATTCCTAATTATGTCATCATAATCGACAAAATGTAGTATTAATCTCGCTCAACCAGACCCTTAAGATCAAGCTCTAGGGCCTGTGGAGTAATCAAGAAGCTGAGTGAGCAAGACTATTTTACTTTCGTTTCTGCGACACGGTCCCACACAGGACAGGTAAGAATATTAAGTTTACTTTGCTGTATTTTCATTGTTTACAAATAAATATGTCGGATAATATCATTAGGTAGCTCGCAGATAATACAATTTAGCTGAATAGCTAAACAATGCTGAGCAAACACAGTAGATTTACAACCATTATAAATACTGTACATGTAGAGTAATACTAATGATAAATTTATTTAGGATAAAGACGTACAGATTTGTATACAAAACATGAATATATGACACATATAACATGTTATACATAATCATGAATAAGTTGTTTGCATTTTTAATCTGTGGTAGTAGTTTGTCTCAAATGAAAAAACCATTATAGAGGTCTGGAATGTAGAGTGCATGTGTGTTCATGATCAAAGGGTGATTGTCTGCTTCTTGTTCACGTGCAATGTACAACGCATGTATAATGTAGATGTGTTTGTATCTATATAACTTACATTATAATTTAGATGTATCATTAGAAAATAAAAGTTTCTGTTATCAGAATTTATAAGTTAATTCATACATGTATATTGAATGTATATGGAGAGTCACCAACAAAAAAAAAAGTGCTTTGTTAAAAGATGGAAGTTCCACACCTATAACATTAAGGAACTCAACATTAATTCGTGAAATATGTCTTTCGCTTTTAAATCATAGGAATTATAACCTGGTGAATATTGTTTATACCTTTGGATGTATATACATAGATAAGTAGATCTATATACCATATACCTGTGTTTACATATCTGGTATATGTTAACATGAAATATCGACAACACAAAATGTTAACTAACATTTTTGAGCCTGTTGGCTCTTGTCTCTTCAAGTGATTTTCTTTGTTACTATCTTATTTACAATACTATGACATAATAAACAATGTACATGTATATACAGATGGATATTTATGTGTTAGCACACTTTTGTTCTCAGAATAAAGTTTTTTATCTTTTCAATTTGACTTTGATTTTTCAATTTGATTTGAAGTAAAATAGCTTTCTTAAACACAGCTGTCTATTTTTCCAGATTGGTGCAGGTTAAGACATTGTAGAGGAATGAGCAACTTTTAAGAAAGCGAAAGGTCTTACAGGACAGTTACAGGTAATGTCCCAATACTGGCTTAATTAAACATTAAAATACTCAAAGAACAATGAATGTCATCACAACTATATTCTATCATGACTTAGTTGCCTGGCTAAGGAAGAATTTTTTTTTTTTCCTAGATTCACTAATTTTTATATACTTCAGGCAGAATGGCCGAAGGAAGAGGTACAGCTCAGGATTGGAGAGATGATAAATCTGTGGTTGAGTGTCATCGCTACATCCTGGAACATGAACTTGCATGTGATATTCATTTCAAAGTGGGTCCACCAGAAAATGAACAACAGTTTGGAGCTCACAAATCCCTGCTGATGGCTAGAAGTAATGAATTCTTTACTATGTTTGAGGAACATGGGACTGAGCCAAACGGCTTGATAGCAGTACCAGATATTGATGCCATGACCTTCAAATTGATGTTATTGTAAGTTTGTTGACCTATTGTTTATTTTCAATGATTGTGAAAATTGTCAACTCCTCCGCCAAAATTTCTAGATTCATGTAATCATATGATACTTAAAAAATTGCTCCTAAGTTGGTCAGGGTGTAAAGTTTGTAAGAGTATACTTTGAAGGGCTGACCAGATTTTGATGAAACTTGGTTGGTACACTTGTATTCTTAATCCCTTGCCCAAGTTCATTTAATGCCAAATTCTGCTCATTTTTAAAGAGGTAATCACTTTATGGGAATGCTTACTTTATATCATCTTATGCATGAAAAATAAGATTGTTAGGAACTTGTTTTGTAGATATAATACCTTAATTCCTTGTTAAAGTTTGATTATTAGCAGATTCTATGCATATTTTATGAGACGGCTGTGACCTGATTGGCTGATATCTTTCGGCACTTTAACTGAATGCTTTCCACATGTTATCTTTTAAAGGAACGAGTGAATCATGATGAAACTTCCTTGGTAGACTTTTTACCTTAACCCCTTGTGCAAGTTTGGTTTTCGTCAAATTCTGCACATATTAATGGGGCTGCTGTGACCTGATTGGCTGATATCTTTCAGCACCCTTACTGAAGGCTTTCTACATGTTATCTTTTGAAGGAACAAATGAATTTTGCAGTGACTTGCTCGGTAAACTTATTACATAATCTCCTCACTCATGTTCGGTCAACCGTGAATTCCATGTATATTTAATCATGGTGCTCTTATCTGACTTCCTGATTTTTAAACAGTCTTGAGAATCACTTTCCACACTTTTTTCACAGGAATGATCAAATTTTTTATGAGACTTGCTTAGCAGACGAAGTATCTTAACCACTCTCTTAAGTTTGATTATGAACTAATTCCGTAGATATATAATGAGGCAGCTGTGACCGGAATGGCTGATTGCTTTGCACAGGATATCTTCCTAAGTAATGATAGGAGACCTTTAAAAGACTATAAACATATCTCTTACCAATTCAGAAGTTTAGACACCACAAAATCATGGAAGAAGAATGAGAATAATAATAAGAAGAAACAGAAAAAGAACAAAAGATCTTTTCATCAGTTGGTAAAAAGCCCAAATAAACCTGTGATAGTGAATCTCCAATATGTTTTTAGAAGTCTAATGTTGGAAGTGATGTTGCACGATCACCAGTTATGATTTGTTTTACTGATAGTAACTTTCTTGCAATTTTACATATCTGACTATTAGATGCTGTATTGTACTTTTTTAATGTGTATAAACCATTTCCGTCTTTTGTCATACTTGAGCGGTAATAGAATTGATTGATCCAGCATCACTGAAATTAAGTGACAAATATTCTATCATAACCATTGGGTAAAAGAAGGGAATATGAAGGTATGATAAGCTGATTTTGATATGCTGTTATTATATTTATCACTTTCAACGTAACTTTAAACTGAGCATAAACAATAAAATGGTTTCAATACTATGATTTTCCTTGTCCCTCAATTTAAATGTATATGTTTTACAAATGAACATGGGCAGGGCATCTTGATGACTGTCCTTGTTTTCATTAGATTTTGTTTATTACATGTCAGAAAATTTTCTTGTTTCAGTGTAACATACAATGGCAATTAGTATAAACTGAGACACTGGCAAAGCCTGTGAGAGCTACTGAATGTATATAATATAAGAGGACAGAAACAGGATGAATAGGAAAACATGATCAGTATCAAAATACAATATGTAGTATTAAATCCTTACCAAACCTGATAACATTACTAAACCATTTTCATTTGTACTGTTGGTAACCAGTCCATACATCAGGAAGATTGATGTACTACAGTGAATTGACTGCACACAAGCAATAATTGATAAGTGTAATGTATATTCATTGACTGAATTGATATCAAATAACATTTATCTGATCTGTGTGTTCTACAGGTATGTTACAGTCATGTAAATGTAAAATTTCAGCATTAGTCTTAATTTTGTGATTTTCATTCTGAGAATGTTATGATTAAATTTTTTTGTGCTAATTGCAGTATATTGTTTCTTGGTAGAAATTTTCGTATAACAGGATATTTTTGCGCTGGTGTAGTTGTTGCAAAAAAGTCCAAAATGTATTTCTTGTAGTTTTACACATTTAATTTGTTGGGATTTCATTGTCTCAGGAATATTAAATACTTTTAATACTTCAGACTGGACAAAGTTTACATACCATTGTAAATTCTATCATCAACTTGATATCTAACTGACCAGTGATACTAGATATCTAACTGACTAGTGATACAAGATATCTAACTGACCAGTGATACAAGATATCTAACTGACCAGTGATACTAGATATCTAACTGACCAGTGATACTAGATATCTAACTGACCAGTGTTACTAGATATCTAACTGACCAGTGTTACTAGATATCTAACTGACCAGTGATACAAGATATCTAACTGACCAGTGATACTAGATATCTAACTGACCAGTGATACTAGATATCGAACCGACCAGTGTTACTTTATACCTAACTGACCAGTGTTACTAGATATCTAACTGACCAGTGTTACTATATATCTAACTGACCAGTGATACTAGATATCTAACTGACCAGTGATACAAGATATCTAACTGACCAGTGATACTAGATATCTAACTAACCAGTGATACTAGATGTCTAACTGACCAGTGATACTAGATATCTAACTGACCAGTGATACTAGATGTCTAAACTTACTAGATGTCTAACTGACCAGTGATACTAGATATCTAACTGACCATTGATACTAGATATCTTACTGACCAGTGGTACTAGATATCTAACTGACCAGTGATACTAGATATCTAACTGACCAATGGTACTATATATCTAACTGACCATTGATACTAGATATCTTAACTGACCAGTGATACTAGATATCTTACTGACCAGTGATACTAGATATCTAACTGACCAGTGTTACTAGATATCTAATTGACCAGCGATATCTAACTGACCAGTGTTACTAGATATCTAACTGACCAGTGTTACTTTATATCTAACTGACCAATGGTACTAGATATCTAACTGACAAAGGATACTAGATATCTAACTGACCAGTGATACTAGATATCTTACTGACCAGTGATACTAGATATCTAACTGACCAGTGATACTAGATATCTAACTGACCATTGATACTAGATATCTTACTGACCAGTGATACTAGATATCTAACTGACCAGTGATACTAGATGTCTAACTGACCAGTGATACTAGATATCAAACTGACCAGTGATATCTAACTGACCAGTGGTACTATATATCTAACTGACCAGTGATACTAGATATCTAACTATCTAACTGACCAGTGATACTAGATGTCTAACTGACCAGTGATACTAGATATCTAACTGACCAGTGATACTGACTAGTGATATTAGATATCTAACTGACCAGTGATACTAGATATCTTACTGACCAGTGATACTAGATATCTAACTGACCAGTGATACTAGATATCTAACTGACCATTGATACTAGATATCTTACTGACCAGTGATACTAGATATCTAACTGACCAGTGATACTAGATGTCTAACTGACCAGTGATACTAGATATCAAACTGACCAGTGGTACTATATATCTAACTGACCAGTGATACTAGATATCTAACTGACCAGTGATACTAGATATCTAACTGACCAGTGATACTAGATATCTAACTGACCAGTGATACTGACTAGTGATATTAGATATCTAACTGACCAGTGATACTGACTAGTGATATTAGATATCTAACTGACCAGTGATACTGACTAGTGATATTAGATATCTAACTGACCAGTGATACTGACTAGTGATATTAGATATCTAACTGACCAGTGATACTAGATATCTTACTGACCAGTGATACTAGATATCTAACTGACCATTGATACTAGATATCTTACTGACCAGTGATACTAGATATCTAACTGACCAGTGATACTAGATATCTAACTGACCAGTGATACTAGATATCTAACTGACCAGATATCTAACTGACCAGTGATACTAGATATCTAACTGACCAGTGATACTAGATATCTAACTGACCAGTGATACTAGATATCTAACTGACCAGTGATACTCTAACTAGTGATATTAGATATCTAACTGACCAGTGATACTGACTAGTGATATTAGATATCTAACTGACCAGTGATACTGACTAGTGATATTAGATATCTAACTGACCAGTGATACTGACTAGTGATATTAGATATCTAACTGACCAGTGATACTAGATATCTGACTGACCAGTGATACTAGATATCTAACTGACCAGTGATACTAGATGTCTAACTGACCAGTGATACTAGATATCAAACTGACCAGTGATATCTAACTGACCAGTGGTACTATATATCTAACTGACCAGTGATACTAGATATCTAACTGACCAGTGATACTAGATGTCTAACTGACCAGTGATACTAGATATCTAACTGACCAGTGATACTGACTAGTGATATTAGATATCTAACTGACCAGTGATACTGACTAGTGATATTAGATATCTAACTGACCAGTGATACTGACTAGTGATATTAGATATCTAACTGACCAGTGATACTGACTAGTGATATTAGATATCTAACTGACCAGTGATACTAGATATCTTACTGACCAGTGATACTAGATATCTAACTGACCAGTGATACTAGATATCTAACTGACCAGTGATACTAGATGTCTAACTGACCAGTGATACTAGATATCTGACTGACCAGTGATACTGACTAGTGATATTAGATATCTAACTGACCAGTGATACTAGATATCTAACTGACCAGTGATACTAGATGTCTAACTGACCAGTGATACTAGATATCTAACTGACCAGTGATACTGACTAGTGATATTAGATATCTAACTGACCAGTGATACTGACTAGTGATATTAGATATCTAACTGACCAGTGATACTGACTAGTGATATTAGATATCTAACTGACCAGTGATACTGACTAGTGATATTAGATCTGAGATTTATATACCCACTAGTAGTTATTTACCATAGAAGTATACATTACCCATAAGTGTTCAGGTGCATGTAGGGATGTCAGCTGTAGGTGTATACACACAACTTTACAATGAAAAGAAGAAAACAGGCTAATTTTGCTATTTTATTTTTTTGCATTTTTGAAAGGTTTCCTAAATTCACAGAAAATAATTTACGGTATTGTTGATATACATCTTCATCATAACCTTAAGTTACCGATGATAATGTATCGAATATAATTGTATCAAATTGTGTACATTTACAGTTATATGAATTTTTCTAACCTACAGGTACATTTACTGTGATGATACCATAGTGGATCTGAATGGAGTCTTTCATCTCCTGTATGCAGCCAGGAAGTACAAATTAAAAGGCCTTGTAATGAGTTGCCTGTCACAGATCAAACCTGCAATACAGACTCATAGGTTATGCTGGGTACTGACAAATGCTTGTTTACAGCAAGATGAGGAGGTTAAACAACTGTGTCTGCAGTACATCAATCTCCATTCCTATGTTGTATTTGGTTCAAAAGGATTCCTTGAGCTACAAGAGGATATCATGATAGAGATTCTCAAACAGGACCGAGTCAACATGCAGGAAAAAGACATATTTGAAGCTGTTGTTAAATGGGCCAAGCTAAAATGCAGAACCAATTTGGTTGAAAGTAATGGTGAAAACCTACGCAATATCCTGGTAAATATTTTACCTCATGTTAGATTTGCAAGAATGGAGCCATCATATTTTTCAGTAAAGGTCTCTCATATGAACATATTGACTCAAGAAGAACTTCTGGAAAATTTTCAGTTCCTAACTACCAGTAAGGCAGATCATCCAGATCCACCAAGAGACAGGAGACTCCTTTTTGAGAGGTTCTGCCAGGTAGAGTGTGGTAAAGGTTACTTCCGTGGCAATGCAGATGCCATCTCATTCATGCTGTCAGGAAATGCCAAATTGCATGAGGTGTTGGTCTATGGGAGTTGCCAGTTTGATGCTTTATACAGAATTACGGTGAAAATATTTGAAAATAGAGATCGAACGCTGTGGAATAAAGACATACAGCTTGAAACTGATGGCTACACCAAGGTATACCCAATTGCGATTGAACCCTCAGTGATGATGAGAAAAGAAGTTTGCTATACTTTATTGATGGTAATAGAAGGGCCAGCAAGTTACTATGGAAAAAAGGGTGTGATCCAGAAACAACTGGACGGATTGTCAATTACCTTCATTCCAAACGAAAAAGGTTTGAATGGCACTAACATCAAACAAGGACAATTCAGTGGCTTTGTATTCAAGAAAGTTTAGCGCAGTAAAATGTGACTTTAACATTCAAATAACACAAGAAATACTGGCGGTAACCATTTCCTGACTGATGTGTTTCTGCTGTTATTTGAGAAAAAATTTATTTCCTCTGTTACTGAAGAACCTCAAGGACATCATTTTTCAAAACATGATTATGGATCTCTCAATGTTATCTTGAGAATCTCGTAAAAAATGTGATTAATATTTTCTTCATAGTGACATAGTTTTACACCAATCAGATCCTGGTTTATATAGGAGCTAGGTCAGTTGCTTTATTAATTAAACATGCTTTTATATTTGTACTGAAATTTTAATCAATATAAGATCTCTTCCTGCAAATTTACATGGAAATACAAATCAAAACTTGTACTGATCTGTCTTATATGATGTTGAATATATAATAACTAATGGCTATAAGCCAAAGTTGATATTGTTAGGATAGAAACTGTGATGAGGTGAGAAAATGAGCAGGATATATATAGCAGGATGGATGACAAATAATAATTAGGGCCCCGCATCAGAGATGTGGGTGCCCCATAGTAATCAGGTTGTCCGTCCGTCTGTCGAGCCATCCTGCCATCCGTCCATCTGTCTTTCTTTTTTTTGCTTCTGGCATTTCGCAGAGACAACTGCACGTATCTTTATGAAACTACATATACATACATATCTTTACATTACTGAGTGTCACATACTCATTTCAAATTTCTACAGTGAAAATTTGCAGAGTTATGGCCCTTTGTCACCAAAATTTGTCCGGCCTATAACTTCCCTGTTGTTTGAATGACATTCACCAAACTTGCTATATTTATATATCTTGGCAATGCAGAGTGACACAAACCAATTTCAAGTTTCAACGACAAATATTTGCAGAGTTATTGCCCTTTGTCACCAAAACTTGTTTCTTCTAAGTTCTGTGCACAGCATCGCAAGGTTGTTGAGGGTAATGTAAAAATGCTTACCACTTGACTCTGACAGCTTACAAAGATTGTAACACTCAACTGAAGCTGACTATTAGGGTCAAACACATAGTGGGGCCCTTTCTGACTTGTCAGTGTTCTAGTTGGATGTCTAAGACTCAAACTCCAACTAAAGATGATCTTTAGATGTCCTATTATCCCAATTATGGTCCGTCCTAATGGGAAGACTTTGAGAGAGGTCCAAAATCTTTGTGATCTATATTCAGTAGGTTACAATGTATAGGAACAAAAAGGCAGTAATTACCAGTAAATCCTATGTATGTTTATGTAGCATGTGACCTTGATGTATGTTAAGATCTTGTTTTTGCCAAAGAGCTCATGTACATGTTTGGATGAAGGTTTTGTTGTGGTAAAATGTCAGCTGTAGGTCAACATTTTTTTGGAAGGCCACTCCTCCTGAATGTTTGATATCAACATTAATTGGCCAAAGGAATGAAGACATTATTAAGGAATAATATACCCTCATGATGGCAGAGGGTATAGCAAAGTTTGGAGTCCAACTCATGCTTTTCCTGTTCAGCTTACCCAAAGGTTGGAAACCCTTTTTAAGTCTGCCATGGTATATAATATGACTCTTCAAATTATTGTATCGCATTTCTTTTTGACTTGACTGAAAGCATCCTTCACAAAATGTCTAGATTGAAATAGTGGTACACTTCTAAAAACTATTTTTAGTATGAAGTAGGGAAAGGTTTTAAATTGCATACTTGCATTTAAAAGGGATTCATGTCATATCAAGGACAGACTTGCTTCTTTGATAATGGCTAAAGGATTTTCATATATCATATAATGTATGTGGGATACATTAGTAATGGTTGTATTGGAGCGAGGGGAATAGTATGTTTCTGGTTCTCAAGATCAGGTCTATGTTGGAGATGAACCATACAGTCCATACTTTAGCTGTTAGAAAATATGTTACTGTAAAACAAAGGCTATTGAGCCAAATGCAAAATGTAAACAGAAGCATTTCAAATATCATTTAAATATCAATCTGTTTCAGATACTCAAAATAGCCCAGTTCATTCATGTAAATAAAACACCAGTCATTTCCACAAAGTAGTCCCAGTAACCATGGTTAGCCATGGGTACATGTAGCCATGATTTAAATGATTCACCAATGTCTTTGACAAATATCTAAAAATGACACATGACCATATAGATATTACCATGGTAACATCATGTTTAATTCATTTTAAGATTCATTAAGCTTGATCATAGAAGTTGATCACCAGTCAAATGTACAAGTCATGTAGGTAATCACTGTAAACTATATGGTAAAGTTTGACAACTTCTATGTACATTTAGGTTAATGACTATATCTAGACTATACAGATGTAGTCAATGATTGTATCTAGACTATACAGATGTAGTCAATGATTGTATCTAGACTATACAGATGTAGTCAATGATTGTATCTAGACTATACAGATGTAGTCAATGGTTGTATCTAGACTATACAGATGTAGTCAATGGTTGTATCTAGACTATACAGATGTAGTCAATGACTATATCTAGACTATACAGATGTAGTCAATGATTGTATCTAGACTATACAGATGTAGTCAATGGTTGTATCTAGACTATACAGATGTAGTCAATGATTGTATCTAGACTATACAGATGTAGTCAATGATTGTATCTAGACTATACAGATGTAGTCAATGACTATATCTAGACTATACAGATGTAGTCAATGACTATATCTAGACTATACAGATGTAGTCAATGACTATATCTAGACTATACAGATGTAGTCAATGATTGTATCTAGACTATACAGATGTAGTCAATGGTTGTATCTAGACTATACAGATGTAGTCAATGATTGTATCTAGACTATACAGATGTAGTCAATGATTGTATCTAGACTATACAGATGTAGTCAATGGTTGTATCTAGACTATACAGATGTAGTCAATGACTATATCTAGACTATACAGATGTACTATAGAGATGTAGTCAATGATTGTATCTAGACTATACAGATGTAGTCAATGACTATATCAATGACTATATAGACTATACAGATGTAGTCATATGACTATATCTAGACTACACAGATGTAGTCAATGACTATATCTAGACTATACAGATGTAGTCAATGGTTGTATCTAGTCTATACAGATGTAGTCAATGATTGTATCTAGACTATACGGATGTAGTCAATGATTAAGATTATCACCTATCATCAATGTGCACAGAAATGCTCAATCACACAATTGTATGCCTTTGCAAAACGATATCACTTATCACTATACACACTTACAAAAAATAAATCTAACACCATGTGATGTATGGATTGGAATGTTAGGAGAGCCTACATCAACCACGATAACAAGCGGAAAACTGTGCACACCGATTAAAATCAGTAGTTGTGATAACAGTTACCCTGCCAGCAATATCAATAATGAGACCACACTAGTCCTATTGGTGAAGGCGTCTGGATAGTCCTTATCACTAGCCCTTCACCTCTGGGTCACAGGATCAAGGCCTTTATAGGGCAGTCACCAAGGACTGGCCACAGGTCAGTGGTTTTTCTGTGGTAACTCTGTCTTTCCTCCACCACCCACACCCAACACATCCTTAAATGACCCTGGCTGTTAATTATAGGACATACATTTAAAGCACCAATAAGCTAATATCACCAATTTATCTAAGTTATTAGAAAATAGCATACACTATAATATGTACACCATATATACATATACATAAGACATTGTAGTTTCATGTCATTGTGCAGTGCAAATGTCCTTGTTTAATGGTAACGTTTTTCCCTAGATAGATGTTTGATACAGAATTAAGGTAAACATGTTAGAAAATGTTAAGTGATCATGGAAAAAGAAGTTGGTTACACATTATTGATGTTAATCTGAAGTTGGCAGTTCTTAAGTTACTGTGATAATATGATTTATTTGCTGAAAGTCATGTACAGTAAAAGTTCCCTTTTAATATTTATTTTACATATTTGCTGTTTGTCTGTAGTACGCTATGGTGCTTTGCATCTTGCGCCTTTGTTTTATGTTAATGTTAATTTATGCAAACCTGATATGTATTGGAAATATTGAGAAACATAACAACAATAAGGATGATATTATCAAGATATCTACATATTATTTTATTGTGTTGTAGATGAACTTCCATTTGTTTATTCCATGATTCTTTGATTTACATATGTCAGCAATCATACAATGCACTTTCCTTTAAATAAAGCTTTCTAAGTAACAGAAAGGATTTTACTGGAATACTCCTATTCTGACACTATTTGATATATCATTTGCTTGCATTGCATTTGTGTTTCTGTGCTACATTTTGTAACAGTGTGACAGTGTAGTATATTTCTGTGTTGACAGTGTAGTAAATTCTGTGTTGGCAATCTAGTGAAATTTTCTGTGTTGACAGTGTTGTAAATTCTGTGTTGGCAATCTAGTGAAATTTTCTGTGTTGACAGTGTTGTAAATTCTGTGTTGGCAATCTAGTGAAATTTTCTGTGCTGAAGTGTAGTATATTTCTGTGTTGACAGTGTAGTAAATTCTGTGTTGGCAATCTAGTGAAATTTTCTGTGTTGACAGTGTTGTAAATTCTGTGTTGGCAATCTAGTGAAATTTTCTGTGCTGAAGTGTAGTATATTTCTGTGTTGACAGTGTAGTAAATTCTGTGTTGGCAATCTAGTGAAATTTTCTGTGTTGACAGTGTTGTAAATTCTGTGTAGGCAGTGTAGTAAATTCTGTGTTGGCAATCTAGTGAAATTTTCTGTGCTGAAGTGTAGTATATTTCTGTGTTGACAGTGTAGTAAATTCTGTGTTGGTAATCTAGTGAAATTTTCTGTGTTGACAGTGTAGTAAATTCTGTGTTGGCAATCTAGTGAAATTTTCTGTGTTGACAGTGTTGTAAATTCTGTGTTGGCAATCTAGTGAAATTTTCTGTGTTGACAGTGTTGTAAATTCTGTGTTGGCAATCTAGTGAAATTTTCTGTGCTGAAGTGTAGTATATTTCTGTGTTGACAGTGTAGTAAATTCTGTGTTGGCAATCTAGTGAAATTTTCTGTGCTGAAGTGTAGTATATTTCTGTGTTGACAGTGTAGTAAATTCTGTGTTGGCAATCTAGTGAAATTTTCTGTGTTGACAGTGTTGTAAATTCTGTGTTGGCAATCTAGTGAAATTTTCTGTGCTGAAGTGTAGTATATTTCTGTGTTGACAGTGTAGTAAATTCTGTGTTGGCAATCTAGTGAAATTTTCTGTGCTGAAGTGTAGTATATTTCTGTGTTGACAGTGTAGTAAATTCTGTGTTGGCAATCTAGTGAAATTTTCTGTGTTGACAGTGTTGTAAATTCTGTGTTGGCAATCTAGTGAAATTTTCTGTGCTGAAGTGTAGTATATTTCTGTGTTGACAGTGTAGTAAATTCTGTGTTAGCAATCTAGTGAAATTTTCTGTGTTGACAGTGTTGTAAATTCTGTGTTGGCAATCTAGTGAAATTTTCTGTGCTGAAGTGTAGTATATTTCTGTGTTGACAGTGTAGTAAATTCTGTGTTGGCAATCTAGTGAAATTTTCTGTGTTGACAGTGTTGTAAATTCTGTGTAGGCAGTGTAGTAAATTCTGTGTTGGCAATCTAGTGAAATTTTCTGTGCTGAAGTGTAGTATATTTCTGTGTTGACAGTGTAGTAAATTCTGTGTTGGCAATCTAGTGAAATTTTCTGTGTTGACAGTGTTGTAAATTCTGTGTAGGCAGTGTAGTAAATTCTGTGTTGGCAATCTAGTGAAATTTTCTGTGCTGAAGTGTAGTATATTTCTGTGTTGACAGTGTAGTAAATTCTGTGTTGGCAATCTAGTGAAATTTTCTGTGTTGACAGTGTTGTAAATTCTGTGTTGGCAATCTAGTGAAATTTTCTGTGCTGAAGTGTAGTATATTTCTGTGTTGACAGTGTAGTAAATTCTGTGTTGGCAATCTAGTGAAATTTTCTGTGCTGAAGTGTAGTATATTTCTGTGTTGACAGTGTAGTAAATTCTATGTTGGCAATCTAGTGAAATTTTCTGTGTTGACAGTGTTGTAAATTCTGTGTTGGCAATCTAGTGAAATTTTCTGTGCTGAAGTGTAGTATATTTCTGTGTTGACAGTGTAGTAAATTCTGTGTTGACAATCTAGTGAAATTTTCTGTGTTGACAGTGTTGTAAATTCTGTGTTGGCAGTGTAGTAAATTCTGTGTTGGCAGTGTAGTAAATTCTGTGTTGGCAGTGTAGTAAATTCTGTGTTGGCAGTGTAGTAAATTCTGTGTTGGCAATCTAGTGAATTTTTCTGTGCTGAAGTGTAGTATATTTCTGTGTTGACAGTGTAGTAAATTCTGTGTTGGCAATCTAGTGAAATTTTCTGTGCTGAAGTGTAGTATATTTCTGTGTTGACAGTGTAGTAAATTCTGTGTTGGCAGTGTAGTAAATTCTGTGTTGGCAATCTAGTGAATTTTTCTGTGCTGAAGTGTAGTATATTTCTGTGTTGACAGTGTAGTAAATTCTGTGTTGGCAATCTAGTGAAATTTTCTGTGCTGAAGTGTAGTATATTTCTGTGTTGACAGTGTAGTAAATTCTGTGTTGGCAATCTAGTGAAATTTTCTGTGCTGAAGTGTAGTATATTTCTGTGTTGACAGTGTAGTAAATTCTGTGTTAGCAATCTAGTGAAATTTTCTGTGTTGACAGTGTTGTAAATTCTGTGTTGGCAATC